AAGCGCTCCAATTCCAAATTCGTAAGAAAGGACCGGAAGAGGAAGAGTCAATGTTGGCAGTTTGCAGCGTTAGTCGTTCTTTTTTCTCCTCCCATGTAGACGATGTAGATTAGCTCGTCGAGTGTCCGTGTGAATTTTCATGGGCAAGCGTCTTTTTTCACTTGTTTCTTCGCACCATACACAAAGCACAGAATAAAAGGTTTGTCCTATATTCCATTCCGAAGAAGAGCATACGCAGTACGTTCCTTTCCGATGTGGAGTCGGGAGCGGAACGTCTGAACGTCCACCGCGACCACCACGAAAGCGCTAGAAAGCGATCAAGTGGTCTGCATCACTTGGAAAAGGAGCCACGAAGGTGCTACTGATAGCAGTTTTTCTTTCTTTTGCGAGATACCAACAGATTTTCCCCGAAAAATGGGAGATACTAACAGATTTAAAGGTAGCGAGCACCAGGCACTGGTACATTCACGTACTCACGTCCCCGGTCCTACCTGAATTGACATGCAGTAGACAGTAGTACAGGTAGCATTTCGCGCGATTGACCGGCCAACTGGCCAAGATGGGTGAAGAAAAGGTATGGTAATGAAGGCCTGAAAGACAGAAGCTTTGGAGCAGGGTGTCGAGCTCACGGTCGTGGTGGAGGTGCTTGGCGACCTCACCGGTCAGTCGGTCACCGGGCAGCAATCCGTGGGGTGGGAGGAGACGATGATTCCTGACGTGGAGAAAGAGACGCGGGTGACAGCAACGGAAGGCCATATCGTCAGCGTAACCGCGTACCGGTGCCCGTTTGTCAGGGTGCTGACATCTGTCGCCTACAACGAGATGGGAATTCTCGCTGAAGGCAAACTCCATATTAGGCCAACCCATTATGCAGCTGACCAGCTACTCTCATTTTTTCTTTTTACTATATAATTACGCGTGCGTTGCAACGGGAGTATAAACATTCTAATAGATTAGCCCGTGACTGCATGTTTATTGTTATATTAATGCGCAGCCACGATTTACCTACCAATTTTTTTTGTTAAGCACTTATTTCGTAAGAATTTAATGACGTACCAAAGAAAATATGTTCTTACTTTGGTAAGTTAATTAAACATGAGAGAATTGATTTCATTTTAGGGAAAAATCGACGGGAGAAAAATCAAAGATGAGAGAAAAATCAAAGATAAGAAGGAAAGAGGGGGATGTATATAAGGAAGGTTGGACGAAAGAGAGGTGAATGAGAACCTTGCAATCTTTTCTCATAGTAGACAAAGTTAATAAAACATGAGAGAATTGATTCCATTTTAGGGAAATTTCATGGGAGAAAAAACAGAAATGGGAGAAAAAAAAATTAAAGACAAGGAAAGAAGGGGGCGTATATAATAAGAAAGGTTGGATGAAAAAGAGGTGAAATGGGAACCTTGCGTTCCTTTTAAGTAGTAGAGAAAATATTTCTTGTTTTCTTATAATTTATTTATATTTCCAGATATTCTATATTACAAAAGTATTCTACAAAACATTTATAAAATGTTGATGAGGCATTTGGACAAATGTTAATAAAGCATTTGAAAATGTTAAATATCTATAGAAAAAATGTTGACTAAGTATTAAAAAATGATGAAAAAATTTGATCATGTATTTAAAAAGATGTTAATCAAGTATTTGATATCATGTTGAACATGTATTTGAAAAATGTTAATCAAGCATTTAAAAAATATTAAATACGAATAGAAATTTTTTTGATCATTTATTAAAAAATGCTGAGTTATTTTGATCATGCATATAAAAATGTTAGTCAAGCATTTGAAAAATGTTGAACAAGTATATGAAAAATGTTAATCAAGCATTTGGATAAAATTTAAATGTGTATAAAATTGTCGATGATGTATTAAAAAACTTTAATATTTTATTTGAAAATGTTAATAAAGCATTGATTTATTTTAAAAATATGTAAAACATATATTAAAAAATGTAATATATTATTTGAAAAATGTTAATCAAGGAAATGAAAAAAAGTAATAATATGTGTATAGGAAAAATGTTGACCATGTATTATTTTTTAATTTTGTATTTAAAATATGGAATATATATTTAAAAAATGTATTATAAATATTCTAAAAAGTATACGGGAAAACAGTGAAAACCCGAGGGAAATCAAAAGCAAAACAGATTAAAAAAGGAAGAAACAATGAATACGGAAGAAAAAAGAAAGAAAAGAGAAAAACCATTGAAAACTAATAAAGAAGAAAATTAATAAAAAACCAGTAAAATGAAAAAAGAAACAAAGAAAAACCGGTGAAAAAACCCCCAAAAACTTTGTGGAAATCTGTTTTTTTTACTACAAGTTGTTCGCGGCCTACTAATCTAAAGTGAATCGCGTTAGATTACTGGCTAGCAGCACAACGAAGGAACAAGGAGATCTAGGGGTCAACGGTCAACCCGTTACTTTAGAGGTCAATGTGGGAGAAGCTACCATGTCGCTTAATGCAAGATATTGCTCCCGCGCGTTTTGTCACCGTGTTCGCTCCCAAAGCGCGGCCATAGATTTTTTTTGTTAGGCCCACGACCCGAGAAGGTTAACCAGCCACCGGCCCAGCAGGCTGAGCATCGATCGTCTGACAAGAAACGGGCCTCCCAGGATGATGGGCTAAACGGCCCATCCTGCCGCGAGCTGGCTGCGGCGGGCCGATGCCGAGCTCTCTCACCAGGTGGTATAATAACACCGCGGAAACTATTATCGCTCTATATTCCCAAGCAGCCGACAGCCAGAGAGAGGAGAGGATTCCCCACCCAGCCAGCCGCGCGTGAAGTCGGCACTCCCCACCCCTCCCTCCGCCCCAACCCCTTCCCCTAGGTAACGAACCCTAACCCGATCCCGCTAGATTTCGTCGCGATTTGGTGCTCAATCCGTAGTTCTCGTGGTGCGACGTGTTCTGGTCCGATTTGCGTCCTGTTATTCGTTAATTTCCGGGGGGTTTCGTTTACCGATACTTCTCTAGCTCACGCGGTGATTGTGCTGTCTTGCGATTTTCGGGATCTGCGCGAGGCGAGCGCGCTGGCCGGATGTTTTTCTGCGATTTTGCGCGGTTTTCATCCGCGGGTTCTTCGGTGCGAGGCGATCGATCCGTGTTCCGTTTGGAGATTGCGTGCTGAGTGCATGGATTGATTGATTCGTTTGGATGTACGGAAGAAGAGTTAGGATGTTGGGGCAGAGTACTAATACATGCGGGCTTAGATGATGATGCTTCTTCTTTTTCGAGTATATATGAGTTGCGTTTATTTCGATTCCACTTGTCCGGAGGGCCTTCCTGTTAGTGCCCACGATGTTAATTAGTGTGCAATTTTACTAACGGGTAGGAGCTGCTCGTCTTGCTTTTGGGTGCATCCAAATTGTTTGTGTTTCTTTTCACATATATGCGTGCCAACTTATAATGCTTCAGCTTTGTAAAACTTAATAGTGTGTTGTTGCAATAGCTTGGGTGAGGATTCCCTGGAGTTATCTTAAACTCTACCAGTGGATTTCAGCACATCAAGATCATTGCTTACCTTGTATGGAATCCACCCAAGTTCTCCCCAGTCCACGCACGTCCCCTTCTTTCGCGCCCATGGATGATCTGCTCTTATCCTTGTCTCCACACCCTGACCCAGCTTCCCACTCCAGGATTCACTCTTGGTTGCACAGTTCCACTGCAAGTTAAATTATGACTAATTATCTGCGGTTTTGATTAGAAAGAAACGCAAGGTTTCTCCTTGTTCCAGAGTGCTTCTCCTGATCTGCTTATGAAGAGAAAGAGAGTTCGGTAATAAAGATGAAGAAGACCATGCCATCTACTAATTGGGTTGTAACGTTACTGGCATCCTCAACTCTGCCTTGCATACCTAATAGCTCTAACCTAATTAATACTTTGTTAAAGATGATTGTGGATTGAACCGAGCGTTTGTATGCTAGAAAGATTGTCATTTTTTTCTACTTAAGATCAATATTGTGCTTCATTCTCTTAGTTTATAGAGATCAAGTATTAAGTAGGTCAATGGAATTGCAATAACCTAAAGTCTATGCCATATTGCTTGACCAGATCTATCATTTACATTATAGACCACTTGGTCATAAAATATAAGGCTGCAGTCCATGTGTTTTAGTACTAAGTTATGCTTACTATGTTGTCCAACACATGACTGCTACTGTTTAGATTTTTGACTGTTGTGTTCTGCAGCCAGTTTTTCTAGATTATCCTAGGACCGCTCTTCATTTATTTCATACGTGTAGTTGCATGTTCTACCTTGTATCATCATAGTTTTATTATTACTGAATGACTTTTCAGATCTCAACTGTGCTTGGTTCTGTATGTTCTTCAGTTATTATGGGAATTATCTAGCTGCTTGAACTTTTTTTTTTCAAATATAGAAGGAATACTGTTCACATATGCTTTGCTGAACACTGTGCAACCAACCAATAGCTCTTCTTTATATGCTTATTAATTTTTTATATGTTGGCTGCAAAGTCTTGTCAAATATCTTAACATGGAATTCTCAACCCTGTTCACATATCAAATTTCTTGTGGGAAATTGTTTTGTTTGATGAACTTCCCTGCTTCGTACATTGCTTGCTATGTTTCAAGTATTGCCGCTTCCAGTAAACTAGTTTTGCTTCATTCCCTGTGTGCCGTGTTTAAAGTATGATGTTTCCTGTAAATTAGTTTCACTTACTACTATCTTTGATCAATTTTTTGTAATTAAGTGCTTGTGACTGTCGTTTCTTATTTGTACTATAATTTGGACCTTGCTGGCATAGTTGGGATATTGCAAACTCAACTTGGGCTAGCAATAAAAATTAAATACCTACAGCATCTGCACTGAACATTTTACGAATTCCCTTATTTCATTTAGTTCATGAACAATTGTTTCTATGGGGCAACTGGGCCCATGGAAGTTTTTTTTACCAAGGCCCTCATATTTCTGTTCGTGTGTGTGTGTGTGGCTGTCTACAGGTGAACTAGTCTTAGCCGGGCTCTATCAAGATGTCTGAGAGCCAGGAAACTGATAGGAACATTGAAATCTGGAAGATTAAAAAGCTAATCAAGGCACTGGAGTCTGCTAGAGGCAATGGCACAAGCATGATCTCTCTTATTATGCCTCCACGTGATCAGGTTTCTCGAGTGGCGAAGATGTTAGGCGACGAGTATGGTACTGCTTCAAACATCAAGAGTAGAGTCAATCGTCAATCAGTTTTGGGTGCCATCACCTCAGCTCAGCAGAGGCTGAAGCTTTACAACAGAGTTCCTCCCAATGGTTTGGTTCTCTACACTGGAACCATTGTTACTGATGATGGAAAGGAAAAGAAAGTTACTATTGATTTTGAGCCATTCAAGCCTATAAATGTCTCACTTTACCTTTGTGATAACAAGTTCCACACTGAGGCTTTAAATGAGCTGTTGGAATCTGATGACAAGTTCGGCTTCATTGTTATGGATGGTAATGGTACACTTTTTGGCACACTAAGTGGAAATACACGTGAAGTGCTTCACAAATTTACTGTTGATCTCCCAAAGAAGCATGGTAGAGGAGGGCAGTCAGCTCTACGTTTTGCTCGTCTTCGGATGGAAAAACGTCATAACTATGTCCGAAAAACTGCTGAGCTTGCTACTCAGTTTTTTATCAATCCAGCTACAAGTCAGCCTAATGTTTCTGGACTGATTCTTGCTGGTTCTGCTGATTTCAAGACAGAGCTGAGCCAATCTGATATGTTTGACCAGAGACTTCAAGCCAAGATACTTAATGTGGTTGATGTTTCTTATGGCGGCGAGAATGGGTTCAACCAAGCTATTGAGTTGTCAGCTGAGATTCTAGCAAATGTGAAGTTCATACAGGAGAAGAAGTTAATTGGCAAGTACTTTGAAGAGATCAGTCAAGATACTGGGAAGTATGTCTTTGGTGTTGATGACACTCTAAAGGCTCTTGAAATGGGTGCTGTTGAGACTCTGATAGTGTGGGAGAATCTTGACATCAACAGATATTCGCTGAAGCACAGTGTCTCTGGGGAAATTATTGTCAAACATTTGAACAAGGAGCAGGAAGCGGATCAGAGCAATTTCCGCGATAGTGAGACCAATGCCGAGTTGGAAGTTCAGGAAAAAATATCTCTGTTGGAGTGGTTTGCTAATGAATACAAGAAGTTCGGCTGTGCGCTTGAGTTTGTCACTAACAAGTCACAAGAGGGATCGCAGTTCTGCAGAGGATTCGGTGGCATTGGTGGTCTGCTGCGCTATCAGCTAGATATGCGGTCTTTTGACGAGGTTTCAGACGATGAAGGTTTGTATGAAGACTCTGATTAGCAATCAGCTAATCAAATGATTGTGCTGGCCCATGGAAGGACGCCACAGCTCGGTTTCGCTCAACTTACGCAAGAACACTTCAAAGGCAGCTGTATGTATGCACGTCTCGTCTTGACTATAAAGCTTTACAATTTTCTTGTTTCACAATATATTTGGTTTGTCTTACTGTTCCTCCCCTTGGTTTCAGATCCAGAGATTGATGGGCATGGGCCAGCCTCAAACTATGCCGAAGGAGTTCATGACCAGATGATTGAGATGCCATCATCATCATCATGGAAGTAACATTTCAAGACGTTAACCGGACTAAAAGCTCCTTATGCTTAGTTGTCGCTTTGTGCTTCTATATATTCAGTCGTTGTGTAGTGTCGGATGTCTGTTATCATGCATCTAGGGTTCTGAAGTCTAGTGTCTGCTTTTAATATTCAGCATCGTGAATGAACTCGTATAAATATTGTGTAATACTGTAGTAGTCTCTTGCTCCTGCAGTTTTTGCAACGAAGACATTGTTTTGCTATAAATATTCCCCCCGTCTTACTGTGATTTATCTTGTTGGTGCCGTAGGTGGTCCAGTTTTTATTTGCTTGACATTGTTTTGTCTTTGCCCTGCCCTGCACTTCCACAGTGCAGTTGCATCTTTTTGTACGTATATCATATCAAAACCTGGTTGAATAATTTTATCTATCCCAAATTGCAACCAACCCTTGGTTGCATTTCAAAAGAAGGTTGAACTTGGATCCACCCAAGGGGTTTTTTGTTATGAATTTTTGGTGGAAACCATGTTTGATGTGCTGACTGGTTCAATCTGCAAGTAGCAGTATCCGGTATGACTATGAGGGCGGTTCAGGAAGCGAGCTATCTTGCGATGACACGGGCACATTCGCCCGAGGCCTGAGGCCTGAGAGATGGTCTTCTTCTTGCTAACGAGATGGGTTGCAATAGAATTCATGTAGAGGCAGATTGCTTGGAGGTTATTGATGTGATGCAGAACGGTGGGAATTCACTGGGCCCTGCAGCAGCCATCTATGAAGAGTGCTCCTTTTTAGCTCATTATTATTTTTCTGTAGTTTCTAATCATTGTCCCAAGGAGGTCAATATGGCAGCAGATGTGTTGTCTAGGAACTTGAAGAACTCTCGAACCATTGTCTGGACTCCCTCAGGTCCTTTTTAGTCCGCATATAAGTTCTGTCTGAAGTCAAAGCATATCTGTTTTGACCGAATTTATAGAAAAAAGTATTAACATTTACGATGCCAAATCAATTTTGTTAGATTCATTACGAAATGTAGTTTCATGGGATATATATTTGGTATAATAGATATTAATATTTTTTAATATGTATTTGGTCAAACTTTGCAAAGTTTGACTTGACCCAAATATAATATGCGGAGTAAAAAGGACCAGAGGGAGGAAGTTAGAGCCTTCGGATTTCTTTGTAGATGTACTCTCAAACGATTTATCTTTATTTATCCTTGAAATATAAACCGCCATAATGGCGTTCCCTAAAAAAAATAGCAGTATCCGGTAGAAGCCCGGTAAAATGAGCCGGAGCAAGTCAAAAGTAACGCTGTCACGTCAGGGCGGGAAAAAGAATTGTATGAGATCTAGTCTCACGGGCTAGTAGGTGAGACCCATTCTGATGGATGACACGCGACATTTCTCTGATTTCAAGTAGAAGGTGGGGTAGATACTTTATGATTTATAAATGCTACGTGTCATTCATCAGGATGGATCTCATATGCTAGTTTGTGAGACCTGGTCTCATATAATTCTTTTTTCCGAGCTGGCCTTGAATGTTCTCAAAACCACGTGTTTACCGTGCTTGTCGCTGAGATTTTCTATAGGAGTATTATTTATGGCTCATGTAGTGCACGTGGTTTGCGTGGACCGATATTTTCTGCAGAATCGACAGTGGGAAAGCAGCCGAGCGGATAGAATCTATAGTACGTGACTCTCCGAGCGTCGCACCTGTGATCCTTGAACGCACGCAGGAGAGCTGCAGTTGGTCTCATCGGAAACCAGCCAGGGAAGGTTTAACGCAAGAGGGAAGGTCAAAAGAATGTCCGTGATTTGACTAGGTTCTTCCGGATATGAGTGCGCTTCTACAATTTTGCTAGCTCGCTGACGTAACCTAGTGATTGACGATAACAGAAGCTTTATTTACAGCGGTCCAACATAGACAACTACGTACCCCGTGCCTAAATAGGTGTGCTGCTACAAGGTCGTGCCCGATTTGGCAAACTTAACGAGACTCCGGAGAACACCGCCGGGTCGTCAGAAACATGCGTCGGAACGGAACAATACCTAGTAACCACCCAGCACGACGAGGTAGGGAGAGGAGGAAGGAAGAAGCTTCCCGGATCGCCGTCAGTCAAACGCACACCGGCAAGGGAAAGCGGAGCTGCGGCCGCGACCAGATAATCCCGCCCGCGCTCGCTCGCCCGCCGCCAGCCATCAGACGCACGCGCGCGCCCTGGCCGCTGGGCTCCATAAATAGGCCCCCAGTCTCCCACGTGACAGAAGCACAAGCTAACAACAAGTTCAAACGAGAATATCCAGCGCAGGAACAGCAGCCGGAGGAAGAAGAAGAAGGAAGGAGAGTGTATTTTTGTATTGTTTGAGCGATGGAAGGGCTGATCCCGTTCGTGATCGACGCGATCAGGAAGAGCCACGGGAGGGACAGCTACCGCTGCGCCTCGTCGGACGGCAGCTCCCACGGCGGCAGCGGCAGCAGGCGGCACCTCATGGACTACCGGGAGCTGCCGGCCGGAGCGGCCGACGCCGACGCCAGCCGCTACCAGGGCCCGTGGTCGGAGTTTATCCAGGCGCCGGCCGACGTGCGTCCTTCCGAGGAGCACGCCCGGCCGGCCGCCGTGGTGTCCGGGCCGGCTTATCGCTGGAAATGAGCACGTACGCACGCAGGCGGTGCCTTTCAAAGTCTCAAGGCGCTTTCGCTTAGTTGTTAATTACAGCTGTTGGATTGGTTTTGTTCATTGTTTTTGCCTTAGGCATGTAAGGAGGGGATTTCGTGATTTCGTGTGGCGAGCGTCAAAGGGCGTCTTAACGTACACATTTGCCGTGTGTCATTGCTTTTCAGTGCGTTCAAACATGTGTGTATAAATATGTTTATCAAATAAAATGAAAGAACAACGGATTGGTGATTCAGTCGTCAATCACTGTGTGTGTATCTGATTTCATAAGCCAGAAAATAGCTTGTGCACCTCGCGCATGCAGGCTCTGCTGGTCTCTCGCATTTACCGACACTGTTGGTCAGAATTCGAACAGAGTTATCTTGGACACTGCAGGCGCCCGTAGGATCTGCCCACGCAGAGGAAATTCTTGTTGCAAGGATCGACCCTTCTTTTTCTGATGAAACACTGCCCCGCGGACTGCTCCTGTACCCGTGGAATCGCTGGAGCCGACGTTACTCGGGCTCTGTTTCTTCTACGTGCATGCCCATGCAGCGCTGCAGGCTCAACTGCTCATCGCCGTTTACCCGTCAGCGGCGGCGCAGTACGTACGTACCTACTGACGTCCGACGAGCAGGTGTAAATTGTGTGCAAATTGTATCATTATTGTTTAAAATTCCTTTCTTCTTAAAGGGTGGTACTAATGCCACTATACTTGATTTCTTCTTAGGAAAACTTATTTTTATTTTTGTGTTTGTAAGTAAGTATACACACAAGTATGATACACCATGTGTGTAGATTATAGTAGAGAGCTAAAATTGCACCGTATATGCTTTCTTTTTGCATATTACAAAAGTGCAATTTCAGGGCATACTGTGTGCAAGTTATTTTATAATTTTCTTTCTTCTTAAAGGGTTTTATTTTCCCTTAGAAAACTTCCTTATTTTATTTTTGTTTGTTCTTTTTTCTTAAAGGTTTCCATTCTTACATAGAAAACTTCATTATTTTGTTATAGTTTTAGTTTCTGTATTTTTTTCTTAAAGGGTTTCATTCGTCCATAGAAAACTTCGTTATTTTGTTTTGTCTTAGTATGTTATTTTCTTTCTTCTTAAAGGGTTTCATTCTTCCCTAGAAAATATCATTATTTTGTTTTTGTGAAAATTCCACTATTATAAGCTTATTTTTGCATATCATAAAAACGCGCAATATCTGTGTATGTTGTGTGCAAGTTTGTTCATTATTTGTTTTAATGTGTTTCATTTTGTTCTTCTTAGAGGGTACTACCAATGTGACTAGTTGATTCTCCCTTAGAAAACTTTATATTTTGATTTTATTTTAGTTTTTATTTCATTTCTAACCATATCAAAGGGTGATACTTATGCCACTAATTCATTCTCCCTTCGAAAACTTCATTTTATTTGGTTTAAGTTTTTATTTCATTGTCCTTCTTCTTTAAGAGTAATATCGATGCAACCAAGTCATTCCCTCTTAGGAACCTTTTTTTTGAGACAGTTCCACTATTATATGTTTCTTCTTGCATATTATAAAGATTGCAATTCTTTTGTAAATTGTGTAAAATAATTGTCAGTATTTATTTTATCTTCATTTTCTTTCCTCTTAAAGGGTAATACTAACACCACTAATTCACTATTCCTTAGAAAACTTCATATTTTGATTTTGTTTGAGTTTTTATTTCATTTTTCTTCTTGAAGGATAATACCAATGTGTTTAATTCATTCCTTCTTATAAAAAAATTATTGCAGAATTAGACTAGTATATGCTTATTATTGCATATTATTTAAAACACAATTTATTTGTAAATTATGTGCAAATTTTTTCATTGTTTTTTATTTTAGTTTTCATTTTATTGTCTTCTTAAAGAGTATTACCATTGCCTCTAATTTATTCCTCTTTACAAAGCCTTTTTTGTTTTAGTTTTTATGTTAGTTTAGTAGCATAGGATAGTCAAAACCTGGTGTGTGGCCTTCTGTCCAAGGCCTGACTTTGTTCTGATCCAAAAAGAGTAATCTAACATGAGATCAAAACTTTCAATAGAATAAAATTCAGTGACGATGTTGCCTTTTTGTATTGTCATA